GAGCTTAGAGCGTAGCAGTTTCAAAATCAGCTTATGCTCACTGAAGACTTTCCCCCTGACACCAAAGCCTCAGCCACTTATTCCTGTTGCTTCCCCGGCCTCACTGCTAACAGCTGCTCAGCTGCCCAGAGGACAGACAATCTGATTGAAAATTAACCCTAAAAGCAGTTCTTAACTAAGTCACAGAGTTGATTCCCAGCACCACAATACAGAAGGGGATAAAAAGAGGGAATCCACAGCCAGAGGAAAATTTGTTCTGCTGGGCAGCAACATGGTCCAAAACAAACCAATAATGAAACTTTGCAAGTGCTTTTAAAGCAAACTCTTCTCGCATTTCCTTCCTCCTTTTCTATTTCTCGGACTGCTACAGTATTCTCAACTTCTGCTATAAATGCAAGCAAAGGCAACGGGGCTCTACTATACGTTAATCCATTGGCATACTTAAAAACAAACTAACAAAAAAATTAAATAAACACTACACACACAAAGAAATATGACAGTTGGAGAGCTGCAGCGTCATCTGGGTTTATAGCATCTAATGGACTGCAAGGTTAGACAATCCTGTCCAGAGAAGCTGTAAGATAAGGCAGAGAATCGACCCCGGTGCAGTCACTAACCGATTTAACTAAAGCAAATCTGCCAGCGTAATTGAATCTAAGAATTATCTCTGAGCTAATCTGTTTGTGCTATCAATAAGCCTCTTAGCTGGGCAACCATAAGCAGGATGACTATATAGCATGACTTTTTGCACCATAATCAATAGGCTCAAATAAAAAGAGACATATTGACAAATCGAAGTTCGGACAGAGGGCAGTTTTAGACACAGAATGTTAGCAGTGAACTCCTGAAATTTATTTAGGAGTCATCATGTTATTCACTACAAAGTAAAATATGAGTGCTTGTAAACTCACACAGCTATCTCAGTCAAACCACAGGGTAAGCAGGAAGGCTTTGAATCAGACACCAACTGGTATCTTGGAAAGCCCACATTAACAGGAAGTTAATGCTCAAGATTTTTATCTCTCCCAGTAGCCAGATCCCACAACCAACCGAATCCCCAAAACTGAGCCCTCCATACAGGTGCAGCATTCCAAGGAGGCAATGGCATTGCTTAGGCAGTTTTAATGATAAAAAGTATGACTCAGAATCATACTTCTACAGCAGAGGCATTGTACATCACAAACCAGCTCTACAGTTCCAGCATTACAAAGCTTTGGACGTTAAGTGAGCTGCCTACAACTGAGATGCAATAGCTGTTATTTAATGAGTAGGAAGCATTTCTCCCATTTACTATATTTTTGTGAGAACTCTGAAAGCCACTGGGTGTGCAGTAGCTACTGGAATCTATTCCTTTTAACAGCCCTTATGCAACACACAAACGACAATCTCATTCACTGCAGAAACAAGGAACAACATGATCATCACACAGGGAGATGCCAGTATGCCTTCGGTCATTTTACACACAATTTAAGTGTATTTATTCTTTAAATCTTGGCGGCATCACTACCTATAGAGGCAGAAATGCAGTGCACATCTGGAGACATGCATAGTTCAAATGAAAACAGAGCCAGTTCTAACAGCCTACCTATCAACAATAGTTCTTTGACCAACAGGCTAAAACATAGCTCCTAAATGCATATTCTAGTTATCCGGACTTCTCACGTCACTCTGGCCTGTCTGTTCTTGCATTGACAGGAGGGTATTGTGAAATAAGCAACTCATGAAATCAATTGACAGTTTTGTAAGAGTTAAAATGAGGTTATTAAAGAAGTTACACAAATCAAGTACCTGGCCTAACATTGCAGACTTACTAAAGGCAGCACCCATTTTTGCAAACAGAACAGTCATTATTGGGGCAGGGGAAGAGGTATCTATTTCAAAATTGGTAACAAAGAACACACCATTTTTTTGCAAACTAACAAGGAACACCTCACCAACCTGAACTACCACTCCTAACGCACCACATCCAGACAACACAAAACAAATGGTATCCCACAGATGCTACTTCTGATCCAGGTAACAGGAACATTAAACCACCCCAATTCGGACAATTATTTTCAAGTCTTTGGAAAGGAATACATTTCAAACAAACATAACTCATACACTGCCTTATTATCTCCCCTCTCCCAAGGGTAAGTAACATAAGAAACTGTCAAAAAGAAAAAGACGTAGAGCTTTTAAAAAGGGTGAAAGGTTTATTTTTAACTTCTTGCCTTTTGATATTGCAGATGTTGTCTCAATAGCACTCATTCTGAGAATTCTTTCTACCAAGCTATTAGGACAAATAAAAGAATAAAAGATTCTTACATTCAGCTTACTGGCTATCCCAGCAGATACAGCAGGAAGTTTCAGCATTTTTCCTAGTCCTAATTTCATATTTATACAGCGACAACAGTAAGATATAATAGTATTGATCAAGTGCACATTTAAAACAAAAATATTTAACTTGTGCTCATTGCTACAATACTAATCTCATTCTTCTATCCCAAAGTAGATTGGCTAGAATATTTTAAAACTCAAAGTCTTCAGAGGACACGGAAAGGTTAGGATCAATTACTTCTACAAAAGCAGCTGGTAATCTGTTAGAAAGACAGAATGTGTGAAGCAGCAAGGAGCTCAAGTATGAGCTGCAGCAGAGAGAAAGAACAGGAGTTCCAAACAGTTTCAGGCAAATCTTTTCCATCTGATCTTGCTCTCTGGAACAAGCAAGTTCACTTCCTCCCACCAACTCTCACCTGCGTTCTACAAACTGATAGAGTGCCAAGTTAACGTCCATGAATATACATGGCAAAACTTGCAAATCACGTGCTGGTACTGCCTCATTAGTCAGGACTCTGGATTAAAAACGAGTCAGGTGCTCAGAGGTTGCAGCAACAACTTCAGATTTCACTGAGATTTTATGCGTACCCATATCAAACGTGGAACACCACATATATAAATGTATGTGCCTAATCACATTAGTGCTTCCTCAGCATACTGGTGTGCTACCCAGTGCCCCAGAACAGGCAGGCACCAAGCTCAGTTATGAACTACAAGATTTCTGTTTGGTATGAGGCTTTTTTTTTTCTTTTTTTTTTTTGCACTAGATCCAGAGAGACTCTGCTTATCCCCACTACTGTCACCCACCACGCAGTTCAATCCACCGGCGAGTGAGAGTTCACTCCTGCAAATCACAGAAACTTTCTTTTTATTTCAATTTAAATTCTATCCACACACACAGCCGTCCGGTCTTCGCTTAGCTCCCCAGCTGAAAACTATTAGGAAATTCCATTAGGATTTTTACCCTTCTGTATTGCCTCCCTTATAATGATGCTCATTGAAAAACAGAAGTAATAACTATAATCCTGGCTTCATATAATTTTCTTATCTGTTGTCATCACAGGTGGCTCTGGCTCAATTAAAACAGGTTGCAGCACCTCAGAGAAGGCACAGCTTGGTGAATTTGGTTCCTGGGCTAGGGGACAGTACTCCATCCTCCAGGCTTCTTACGGAAACTCCAGCAGAGCCCTACCAGGAACCACCACGTTTAAAGGCAGCTCAGTTCCATTATGGTCAGAAGCCAGGGTGTTACAGTACATGGAACTGTACAACGCACGGCAGTAAAGCAGCTTGCACGGATGGCAAACTGGTCATCATAACTGTTGTTTGTTTGGGTTTTGGTTTAGTTTGGTTTTTTTTGTTTGGTTGTTATTTGTTTTTTTTTTTGCTGTTGCTTTCCCGATTGCAAAAACCATTACACCCACGATTTAATCTCGCTGGACAGAAAGGTTCAAATAAGGTTACAGATCGCAAGGCAGAAAAAAGTGCCCACATGGGAGACTTCTCCCAAAGTCTGAGCAAGGGAGAAAAAGCAGCCTGGATTCCCACCCTTTAACAGATGTTCTATTTTTTGAGGTATTTCCTATTCTTCTCTCATTTTGCATGAGAATAACCTCATCCAAACATGCAGTTCAAACCTGTCAGCTGCAAACCAAAGCAGACCCTGGGACTTCGAATTTCAAAAAAAAGAAAACCAACCCATAATGGAATATTTTAGTCATGTTAAACAGAGGCACGCTGCCAAAAGCTACCCGTAACCCCTGACACTGAGTAACCAAGTTCAGTATGTCCCTCCCCAAAGCCATCTCTATAAAGGGGGGGGACACACACAACACCTTCCAAATGACACCATCAGCAGTTTACCTGTCAATAATTCACGGGCCAAATTCTGCGAGCGATTCTTGACCTTGGGTAAACAATAACACCCAAATCCCT